GTTTTGACATATTAATGTGTTAAGTATGGACATGAAATGATATGAATAAATGCAATTTTATATTTCCATTTGATATTTTCATACTGATTATATACTGGTTCTCTCAGGGTGCATTGTGCCACTTATAAGAACACAAAAATTACTGTGTAATTTTGGCCCAACCAGCAGCATTTACATGCTCACTAAGCTCATATCTTTGCTCTTTAACAGCAATGGAAATGTGAGCGCTTGCTAAGACATCATTTCTTCTTGCTGAGAACCACTGACAGCTATTCATCTACGAGTTTAAAAAGCTCATAGTTATTCAAGTGTTAGATATTGTAAACTAGTGGGCTGCAAATACACTAAGAATCATAACATTTAGGCAGTTTACAGAAATAGGTTTGTTCATGTCCTCCCACTGATCCAACTGAAGCCAAATGGTTCACAACTGTGGTTCCCTAGGTTCCTCCCACATTACATGCATACATGCATTTTAGATATTTGCAAACAGATTTGGAATTTGCTTGCCTGAAATACTGGGCTCAGGTCTTCACAGCCCCCCTGGATTCAAGACCGTGGCTGCTTATAGCTTGTCGATATTTAGAATGCATAAAAGGCTGAAATGAACAACTTATAAGTTGGCAGAAATTATGCTCATTTATCTTTTGAAAGCTCAGGCCTGTAGCATTAAATTAAGTTCTTATGAAAATAAAATTATGGCCAGATTTACCAAAAGTTTGCAGCGCTTGTAAGACTTTTGAGGATCCAAAGCTGCATTCTTGTTTGTACAGTAGTGACTGTAACATGTCATATTGATTTCTTACTATACCTACGGCAACTGCCTTTTGTTTTGTTTACAGCAACAACATACAATTACTCGCTTAACAAAATTATAAGCACAACAATCAGACACACACACTCACCCAAACACTTAGGCGCTACAGCACTATTACACTCTGTACACCAAGTTAATTAAATTCTTCTCTTTAACTCTCTTTTAAAAAGACGCAACTTATTTGTCCCTAAAAGTATTATACGGCAGAAAACATACACACAATGTAAACAGCTGCACATTTCCCAGTCATGCTTCTGGAACTGAAGCTTTATATTGACAGTGGTACTATGAAGTCAGTGCGCTGTGTTGAAGAAAATGTAATCAGAAAATATTTCTTCTGATTATCTAATTTAGAATCACGATTAGCTGGGTACGTTGGGGCGAGAGGCAGGGTACACCCTGGACAGGTCGCCTATCTATCGCAGGGCGAACACAGAGAGACCGACAACCATTCACACAATCACATTCACAACTACGGCCAACTTAGAATGTCCTTCGACCGTGGGAGGAAGCCAAAAATACTCAAGAACCCAAACGGTGAACAAGCAAACTCCACACAAAAAAGTCCCAGCAGACTGGTGGATTCAAACCCTGGACCTTCTTAATATGAGGCACTGGTGGTTAGCACTATTGCCTCAGGACAAAAAGGTCCTAGGTTCAAATCCGATTTACATTTCAACACTATTGTGTTGAAATGGAAATGGCAAGCATGTCGAGCTGTTTTCACTACTTTTTAGTTCTGGCTGGAAACATTTCTGCTGAAGTTTACTTGCACTGCAGTGTTTCAGTATTTGGTTGTATTTTTTCCACTTTTCAACATTCTTCTAAAGGTTGTAGATAAAGTGAACTGGTGAAATGTTTTTCTGTGCGTGTATGTGTGTATTTTTCTATTAAGGAAGATACAATGCATTGAGCTTCTGGGTCTCTGTATTTTACGAGATATTAAAACCTCTTCCTGTGTAACAGTAAGCACAGTCTTTTCTCAAAGAAAGCTACACCTCCCTCCTCCAGTAACCTACTGCAAACTAGTAGTTTTTTTTATTTTCTTACTTTCCAGATATTAATCTCTGTGTCTGAAAACGTCTAATATCAAAAGAATGGGAACCCAAAAGATCTGGGGCAGATGAAGACTGGAATATACGTAAAATATATTCAAAGACACCTGGTTTTTAAAATAATTACCAGAAATTATTCCATACATCGTCGGATAATGCAACTATATATAGTTTTTAATTTAGGCGAAGTCATAGTCTGAAGAGAGTATATTCCTTATATAACATTCACTGACTGAACTACTGCAATGCAGAAGTACATAATGTTTTTTTAAAGAAAAAAAACACAACTTTAAGGCGTCACGAGATAAAAAAAACACTAAAAAAACAGTAATTACAAGCAGGACTGTTGCAGAAAACAACCTGCTCTTTAAGACCATCACACATATATCTCTAAAATGATCCTGACACTGCATAAAAGTAATCCATTTGCCATATTAGGAAAAAAAAGAAGAAAAAACTAATGCTGATTGGTTGGGGGGGGAAAAAGAAAATTCATAGTTCTGGGGCACTGGATGATGATTCAGTGGAACACTGTGTGATCAGCTCTTACATCCAGTTGGCTGTAGCATCATTTAGTAACCACTCAAGATTTTTTTTAACACAGAACAGTGAGGGTAAAATACAACAGGAGGATGGAGACAAAATGCAGACGAATATAAAGCGGCCAAGACATGGAGGACAGAAACTTACTTGTGACAGAATACCCTGAGAAGTCCAATGGAATAGAGAACAGATGAAAAACCAGATGAGAAAACAATAAAACAAAGAGAAGAAAGAAACACAATGAAATGAGAAATATGATCAATGAAAGAGGCCAGCTGCCCTGTCAAATTGTTAACCCACTGTCTGTTGTGCCTTACTGAGTATTCTGTTCACAGAAAGTCCTGCTTCTCTCTGTTTTACAGTTGATAATACTGGTACTGTATCAGCAACTACAGTAGAAAATACTGTTAATGACTTCAAGGTGTCGATCAAGGTAAGGAATCTGGGTTTGCGGCTGATAATCCCCCCCCCACTCTGATGCAATATAACAAACTGATTACAGCGTCTAATATGATTCCTCCATCAAATTTTAGTCAATTTTTGTAACGTCTGAGCTGTTAAAAGTTAAAAGGGTTTCCAAAATAAGCATAATGAACACATGGAAGAGATTTCTTTTTTTTTTTACTGCAAGCAAAATAAAAGGATGGTGAGGAGCTATTTCTAAAGGGGGGAGGATGAAGAAGCACACAAATGGAAGTGTGACATGAAGGCAGGCACAAAATAAGACAAAGATTTATTCCTGACCTTGGTTTGAAGTGCTGACTGATAAAAAGCTCCGATCCCTCTCCCATGAATTTACATCCTTATTATTTTTTACTATGTTACAATGTGCAATCACTTGTTATCATGTTAAACTGCAGTTACTGGATCATTTTGCTATATGATTTGGATTTGAAAGACATTCAAAATGCAGAATGTGCGCGTATTTACACTACTATCTGGCCCAATTTATACTTCAGTGAGAAGCATGTGACAAAAATAAACTCAAAGTCACATTTCATGTCAGGCCGACACATCCTGGTGATGACAAGTGTCACATACCTGCTCTTTGATGTAAAGTTTGCCCCATATGTCTAACTAACTAAGCTGTGATATATAGGAAGCACCAAGGGCAATGACAAATATGTCCAGAATATCCACAAAACCCGCTTTAACGCCGTTAAATAGAAAATGTTCTTGACCTTCTAAAATATCCAGTAATTCATCATGCTCCGCCATCACTATCAGAAAATATAAACAATTCTCAGCAGGACTCGACGTGTGGCTGCTACATTAAAAATGCATGCTGTCACTGAACTATAAATACAGAGACAACTCTCCTTCGCACTGAAGTATAAATCAGCTTTAAGAATGCGCACGTACTTTGCAGAAAGCTTTCAGTAAATCACCTGAGCTGTGGGCTATGAAGACGAGGGTTCATTCAGACTTACACGCTGCAAACATTCACCAAAAAAAGAGGTACATAAAAGTGCTGGGTGATGAAGGAGAGGTAGGTTACACGTTGCATCGTTAACCCTATTAACAAAGTCGGATCATGGAGTGACGGCGTCGTCGTGAGTTATCGTTTCTTCTGGCCTGGATGGAAAAGGATTGCGCTGGGGGCTTGGCATGAGAATAGAGGAACGTAAGGGTGAAAGCATCTGGGCACAGCTAGACACGGGGAGGCAGCGGAGTGAGCTACGGCATTAGGTTCAAAGCATTTGGGTCAGAGGAGCACTTAGAGCAGGAGCAAGAAGCGAGGGGAGTACTTACGGACTGGTTCAGTCTTGAAAGTGCTGGCCTGGCTGCTCTCGCCTTCACCTTTCCCATTGATGGCGGACATCCTGACCTCATATGTAGTTTCTGGTTTCAAATTAGTGATGGTGATCCCGGTCATGTCTGTTGGAGGTAAGGTGGTGTTATTCCATGAAGGTGCACAGTGACCCAAGGAATTCAGAACTGAGACTCTGGGAACATTTCATATGTGACCCAATCATGTTGGCTTTTACCAATTTATGTGAGGTTGGTAAACCATCAGTGTGGCTGCCTACGTGCTACTTACCTTCTCATAGGCCGCAGTAGAGTAATGCGCTAGTCCACCCGTTCAAGATTGCTCTCATTTTTTTGGATTTTGCTTTTTACACTCACACTTTGCTCTGCTTCCCAAAGTAGAGATCTCTGTCTCCTCCTTTCGCTTAAGCTCACCACAATATAATAAAAATGGGGTATTTCTCCTATAAGTTGCTCAGAATGATTCAGCGGGATGCCTGCTGTGGCCTGGTCCAGCGGTCCCCAACCTTTTTTGCGCCACGGACAATATTTTCACGGACCGGCCTTTAAGGTGTCGCGGATAAATACAACAAAATAAAACTAGTACCGGTACCGAAAAAAGAAGATTTATTCATAACACACGTGAAAAGACCCAGGAAAACCAAGTTAACGATAAACGCGATAACAAAATAACGCTGAAAACCGATAAAAACCCTTCTGAGCCTCAACTCTCGCGGCCCGGTACCAAACGACTCACGGACCGAGGCCCGGGGGTTGGGGACCGCTGGCCTGGTCCATATTAGGAGAAGACTATTTCCTACATGAAATCTTGGAACTACAAAAAACCGAGGCAGCAATTCCATGCTGAAAGCTTTTTGTTGACACTTGATGCCAGGACCCCACAGGTGAACTACAATTTTAATGAGTTTATAACAATGACTCAGTTGCATACAAACAGCAACCACAATGACCAATAGAGGGGTTATTAATTTTAATTGTATATGTGAAAAACAAGTCCCAAGAAGGGCATAAATTGTAATTGCAGAGGGGCTCTGTGATTTTATATTTCAGGTTCTATTGTTGGGGGGGGGATCAAAGATCTATTGTTATACAAGAGCTCTCAGGTGTATTATTTTTTTAAAAAAAGGCCATTACAATGACCTTTAAATGCCATTTTTGTGGGTAAATTCCATTGATATAACCAATAATCTCCCAACAACAACAACAATCTATATTCAAGTGTAATACATCTTATAAAATTATTACTTTCTAGAACTCAGTTTTAATTTTTTTACGTTTAAAATTTGCTTTTGACACTCACGTTGTTCCTTCCAAGGAACAGTTGAGATTTCAGTCACAATACACATTCACGGTCTTGACATTTGTTATAAAACTGAGTTGGCCGATCTCTCAGTGTGCTATACAAAGAATAGTAATTTCATGGATGAGAACAAATTTAGGCTGCGAAAACCAACTGAGAAACATCTCTCCATTACTGTGACCATTTATGTCTCAAATTTATGTATCAGTGAGACGGACTTGCAGAAAGAGCTGAGCATAAGGCTGCTCGGGGAAACTGCATGAATACAGCTTTCAAGCATTAGAGCAGATGAATTGAGAACTGGGCTTTTAGCAGCAGCATAAAACTGATGTCTTTGCTGAGTCCATTAATGGTCAGATTAAAATTTTACAGCCAGCCCAAAGTAATATACCTGTGGGGGAAGGGGGGGTGCATGTTGGTTGCCTCTGCTTATGTAAAAGGTTTTCTCCACAAATAAAACGTTATTAAATTCAGTGTATCTTAATCAGTGTCTTTCGACATTACTGCAGCACTAATATTGTAATTATGTGTACAATGTGAAAAATATACTTTATAAATTTACTGTTATTTCCATAAACAATAAAGACTAAAATTCAATATTTGGTTAAAAACATATAAAAGGACATCCAGATACTGGGGATCTGAGAAAATGATTATTAGTATTAAGGATTTGTGACTAGATTTAATTATAAAAATGTATAATATCCAGGTACAGATTAATATTAATCATTTTCAGTCAAAAGGTAGGTAAATAATATGCAATATTACTTGATATGCTCACTGATTTTAGAAATATGTCCTAAAATGATGTGTTTTTAATTAATGCTTATTTGAATTCACAGCAACATCAGCCTATCAATAGTGCGAGCTCGTATATATTTTCAATAAATCCCAAACTAAAACCAAAAACAAAATGAGTATTTTCATGTATAGAACTGAATGCTCCGTGGCCCCAAAACCACTGCGCGCCATCAAAAACACATCAGTGAGAAATACCAGTCAAGCACTGAGGTAGATTATGATCCACTCTGCACTGTATACTTTATGCATTATGGGAAAGCAAATGTGAGTATTTTAAATTTACAAAAAAATTACTGCAGACTATATGGATACACAATGAATGAAGCTACATATGATCTGTTAGTACATGCAGAAATATTTACACAGTGCACAGAAGTAAGGCTGTTTTATGTGTGTGCACACAGCAGCATCAGTACCTATATAGCATGGACCCACAGTCATATGGGTGTGGTATCTATATCTGGCAGTACTGCTTTTAAACATGTGATGGCAGCTCTGGGTCACAGTACTGTGACAGACACAAAAGCCTTTTTATTGACACAGTTCAGCCACTTGACAATTCAGTATCCGTAACAATATACTGCCTCCCTTCATGGCATATTGTAGCTTCAGTAGCTAGACCTTTAAAAAAATGATATTACAAGTATCTTAGGAAATATGATGTGTTTTGCAAGGTCCTTTCACAGCATGTGTGTTTCAAAATTGCTCAGATTTATTAGAGACAGAGTGGTTTATCTAGCTGTGTGAAATATTTCTGACAACACTGACTGTTTGCGTGTGGGTCCATGCATTTCGTTTTGTGTACACGCTCGCATGTCAGGCGGCTCATGGGCCTTGAGCTGACAGCACAGCCTGTCAGCCACTGACTGATACATCCCATGTGGCAGACAGGACGAAAACCATCCAGATTTGCAGGAGCCACAAACCCTCAGCGGGACGGGGATATTATCTAGGGCTTGTCAGTGTCGGAGCTGACTGTCATTTAGGCTATACTGTGATCCACATCTCTTCTTGACATCAGCTACTGTCATGTTTGGATTAAATGTTGTCGCAGAACTGTTTTCGGCATGTAGGAACTAGACATAAACGCATAACAGTCGCGGAGCTGAAACGCTGTGCTGCGTTTCTCTTTGCACCGCAAACTTTACAGTGGATTACCCTGGAATTTAATGTTTAAATATTATGATTAACAAGAACATCTCAAGCCTTTTTTACCTAACGGCAGAAATGAATAATTCCATAGATTTGCTGACAAAGATGGACTCTTAGAGTCCTCCCCTTCAGGATGGCTCTTAAAGTATGATGCATCAGTTGGATGCTAAGAATTAAAGTGGCCTAAGTGGTACTAAGGTGTGGATGATGCAGCTGATGCCGACACGGAAAGTGGTAAATAACAACCCTTCCATCCACTGCGCTTCACTGAAAGTATGTTTTTCAGGGCTCTAAGGGGAAATGTACGGAACAGATGACTACTCAGGAATCATAACAAACCTAAACCATACAGAGAAATCTTTGTCCCAGCAGTCATTTTCAATCTCCTGCTAATGGCTAAATGAGGCTATACGAGTCCTAAACTTCCATAATGGCATTTTTTGTAAAGGCTACCACTTCTACATGTGCTTGTTATACACAAGGAGGGATAATCCAGCAAATTTAGCTTACGTTATGACCGACTCACCATCCTCAACATCTTCCTCCTTGCCAGTCCAGTCCTGGCCAGGCAAACGCCATTCCACTCTATACTTGATAATTGGCACTCCACCCATTGAATCGGGCTCCTCAAACTTTACCACTGCTGTGCTTGAGAAAGGCTCCACTTGTTGAATTACAGGCGATGACGGCACCTCTGCAACGGCAAGCAGGGAAAATAATGTGTTAATACTTTTTTTTCAGTTTTCAAAAGCTTTTTAAAAAGCAAAAAAAA